AGAGAGAGAGAGAGAGAGAGAGAGCGAGCGAGAGAGAGAGAGAGAGAGAGAGAGAGCGAGCGAGAGAGAGAGCGAGCGAGAGAGAGAGCGAGCGCGAGAGAGCATGCGCGAGAGAGAGCATGCGCGAGAGAGAGAGAGCGAGAGAGAGCGAGAGAGAATAACTATATGAAGTGGTATAAATATATACATTTTCTGCCATCATGTCTTGAATTTGAGATCATTCTAAATGCATTTGAATAGACTGAATCATGCGGTGAAAGAACGCACTCTAAATGCGCACACGCACTAGTCTAGACTTCACGTAATGTATGCGTGCGCTCTGTAGGGATGTTTTGAATGGTTTTTGCAAAATACTCGATAATGTCAAATCGCACATCGTTAAAACAACAATTACGATATTATCACAGACGATATATATCGCACACCCCTAGTTGAATAGTGAGTGTGTGTTTCTGACCTGGAGTCCTTCTCGTTCTCAGCGTTGAGTTTGTTGGCCTCCTGCGCTTTCTCTGCCATCCAGCGTGTCACCAGCTCCTGATTGTCCTCTGTGGTTTTCCGTAGTTTCTCCTCCAGGGCGCTGAACGTGATCTGCAGGGCATCGTACTCGTCTCGCAGCGTCTGATTGGCTCGTTCCAGATCGGCCAGAGAGTTGCGCAGCTCGCGACACTCTCCTTCCATACGGGAGATCTGCTGCTGATACTCCAGCATCCTGACCAAACACACACGTGAAACCTTCACACACCGCTGATCTCAATCAGATTCATAAAGCACACTCACTGAACTCACTTGGCTTCATTACTCTGGATCTCTTTGTCTTTCTGCTGAATCTGGTTGTTTAGTTCAATCACACTCTGGGCCAACTGCAAAAACACAAAGAAATTAGATTTTTATTGGCATGTTTTCCCACCAGTGCTATTTTAGTATCATTGATACTATAGTTGTTGTGTTTTTTTTCATATTTTGAATTCATTTATTTTTATATTTCCTGTTTTCACTATATTTTGAGTTAAAGTTTTAATTTTGTTGTATGTTTGTCATTTTTATTAGTTTTTATTAAAAAAAAATAGAATTATAAAAAACAAAACCTAATAAAAATGACAAAAGCACATAAAATTATTAATTTAAACTAAATTAACATCAAAACTGAAAATATAAAAGCTAATTCAAAATATTAATATATATTATAATAGCATATAAATAATACTAAAATAACAGTGGCCAACTGCTTAGTTATATTTTCTTTAATAATTAGGGGGAAAAAAATCTGTTTTCACTTTAATTTTAGCTAAAGTTTTAGTAATTTTGTCATGTGTTTTTGTCATTTTATTAGTATTTTTTAAATACACATACATTTTTTATTTATTAATTTTAGTTATTTTAGTACTTCAAAGTCAACTAAATTAAAATTAGAAATATTGACTAAGTTAAAATTTATTTTATTTCAAATTAAATACAATTTATTTTATTATTTTAAGTAACAAATTTTTTATTTTTTATTATAATAACCTGTTTCCCACACGGATTTGTTTTTAAAATATACAAAAAATAATTATTTGAATCACATTCATTTATATACATATAATAATACAGCAATATTTACCTAAATCTGTTTTTACTAAAACAGTTTAAAATTTAAAAAAATGCCACACAGGGAAAAAATTTGTGTGATAATTCAAATGAATCTTTAAATATGAGTACTGAATTGATTTCATGAAATGGCCAGTTTGAACTGATTCACATCAGTAATCATAAACTTACCGATTCTAATGCTATTACTGCTGTTGAAGTTTAAGCAGTGAGCTATTAAGATGCTACTTCAAAATCAAATCTAAACACACTCATACTCGAGTCACAAGACAAGGAATGTAAAACTAGTCGAATGACTCGGAAGGGTCAAGCTGCTGAATACTGAGCAGGTGTTGAAATGTAAATGTGAGTCTAAGTGCTGTCATAAGAGTAATAGTTCAGCAGAGCTGATGTTCACCTCTCCTCGTTTCTTGTGCAGCTCTGTCAGCTCCTCTTGATGTTTGATTCTCATCTGAGCCATTTCCTGCTGCAGGGAATCACTGCGGCCGCCCTCGACGCCCGGACTACACCAAACACACACACGCGCACACACACACACACACACAAACACACACAGATCATGTTACTTTCTTGTATTCATAATGCAACAATTCATAATTGGTTTCCTCTTCATGTAATGTTCTTCTCTCTACACATTATTTCCTCTCCTTAATGTAACAACGGATTACAAAAGATGTCAATAAGCTCAATATCACACATAGAGAGATCTAGATTACATGGTCTAAGTCAGAACTGATGGAGAAAGTTTTCCCATGAGCACCTGAGGTCGTGTCTGTTCTGTTGCTCATATTTCTCGGTCTGGAGATGTTCAGAAAAAACAACCTGAAGATCAGACTTCTCTAACAACCGGTTATCTGGAGACAAAGAGAAACAGAAATTGTATATTGAAATAATATTCGACAGGAAAATAATTTAAAAGAAGATGTGTTAATATATTATATTATGTTATTTTTCGTTTAGGACATCAGAAAGCACATATTGGAAGATTATAAAACAAAAAAAATTTTCTGTGCACGGTATGTCC